AATTTCTTTGTTTCCTTTAATTTTCTTGTTGTGTTGGAGAATATTGTGAGAGTCGGTAAAACAAAGCTTTCTTTTTCTTTCTTTTTTTTTTTTTTGAAAAAAAAATTGGTAATTATAAAGAAGTTGATTTGACCAAATTACCCTTTTGGTTAGGGCATCAAAAATACTCCTTCCTTGTGCTTCCAAAAGTTTGACTTGCTTACTAGGGTTCCAAAAATCGGCGTTTTCTATGACGATTTTCTGCTGCCTCAAATTCACGTGGTAAAATTTTTTAATCTTTTTTATTAAAAAAAAAAAAGTTTACTTTTTTACTATTTTAATGGTAATATATTAATTTCATTGAATTCCAAACTTGAATTAATAATAAAATAATTTATACTCCGTCAAAATTAAATTAAAAAATTGTCCTTGAATTTTCATCTCTCTGTGATATAATTTTCATAAAAAAATTGAACATATTTTTCTTTTAATGTTAAAATTATCCTTTAATTTAATAAATAAATAAATGAACTTGGTACCTAATAAGGCAATATTGGTATGAGAAATAAATCTAAATAAAAATAAAAATAAAAATAAAAAGAAATCTCATTTTCATAATGATGGTAGTGGAATTATTTGGTAATTTTAATGTTATTTATTACATATCTTAGGTGTCTGAAATAAGTAAACTATTTTAATATTGCTTCTGCATAAATAAAAATAATAATTTTATTTCTACTTTCAGAAAATAATTAATAATTTCAATCTTCATTTTCCAATAATATTTTTATTCCATTATTTTCTAGTTCAAACAAAACGGTGCGGTGGTTATTAACACTTTACTGAACTTTCTTAAATAAAAATATCATTAAAATAATGTACATGAACTCATGTCTATTTAATTTAAATTAAAAAAATAATTTAAATATCTTTCTCATCTCAATAATTTCAATTTTTTTAGCTCAATAGTGGTAGAATTCAAAGATAATACAACATATTGAGACAAACCCAAAAAAGAAAGACGAAAGCCAAAGATAAAATCAAGGTGAAACTGGCCCAATGGCAACCACATTCAAGCTCAACGAGCACACTAGCCCTAAAACTTAGCTCATAGCAAGTTTGCCAAATGAGATTTCAATCTAAGGAGAACATGTCTCACAGAGAGATGTTCATTTTATCTACCGGAAAAGGGCTCGAATGGGGGAGGGAGTCCCGATCCCCATGAGAAATGCTAGGCCGCACGTGAAGATTCTTTGCCCGATCTCGAAAAATGTGCATATTTATAAAAGAAAAGTAAGATTATAAAGAAAGGGTAAGGGGAAAGTGAGAAAGGATGACGATGAAAAGGGGAGATTTAGGGTTTATAAGTAAAATAATAGCTGGCAAAATGCGAAACGCTCATTTCATTTGTTTCAAAAGCTGACAAGATTCAGAGTCAGGGACGGTGGGCGTGGATCAGGTGCGCGTGGGCGCGGGCGTGGGTGTGGGCGCAGGCGCGGCCGCTCCTCTTTCCTCATCACCACTAATCATTTCCCTTCCCTTCCCTTCCCTTCCCTTCCCTTCCCTTCCCACCCTCCACGTGTGCATGCTCACAAAACGTGCGCTCTTCCTTCTATTTATTTATTTACTTTTTAAATATTTTTACCAAAAAAAAAAAAAAAAAAAAA